TTATTATCCTTTCATCTTTTCAAGTCCACATTGAACACTTACCAATTTTTCAGCCAACTCCAACCCCCAACCATCATGGGTACATTCACACAAGGGAATATTACGTAACTAAGCAACAATTACTTCATAAAGTACGATTTAACTTGGAAGAGACTAGAGAGCATTATGCTGAGTGAACTCTCTCAGCAACATAAGAACAAATATTGCATAAGTCTACTATTGCGATTATGTTGTACCTGATTCAGACCATGGTCTTATCAATCACTTGCTATATATCTGAGAGTTAGACAATGCTTAATGATGACAGAAGAAAAATTGTTGCTTCTGAAGTATGATGTTAGAGGAGAGTACTGAATATCTCTCTTGGACTGCCAAAAAACCAAACAGCAGATATGTCTTATAAAAAGTGAAGCAGATTACTCCTTGGAAGCAAGGATGGTGAAGCTTTGTTTTTGCATACTTTTGGGCATATAACTAGGAGAGGCTATTCCTTGAAGAAGGACATCATGCTTGCAAAAACGAAAGGACAGGGACAGAGAGGAAGATCCTCAATCAAGTAGATTGACACAGTGACTACAGCAGTGGGCTCGAGTGTGTCAGAGACTATGAGCATGGCGCAGGATTAGACAGAGTTTAGGTCTGTTGTTCATAGAGTCCCTATGAGTCTTGCTCAATTCCACGGCACGTAACAGTATCAGCTATTGGGATAATAGGAAGGTAACTGAACAAGATATGTACCACTGTTTGAAAGGGGCAGGAGAGACAGAAAAAGAGGGAAAAGGTAAAGTGATATTCTCTAAGCCCCAAGTCTCAATGTGATATTTATGCTAAAGAAGGAGACAGATGAGATGACCAAAAGCTGGTAAGAATGAGAAACATGGTAAAAGTAAACGTTCTTCAGTATTGTCAGTAAATGTGGGTATAACATTGCTTTTTCATAGTATAAAACTGTGAGCTACAATAGTGGTTCAAATTACTGCCTTAGTTCTAAAATTAAACCAAATTTAATGCCACCAAGTCATTGTGTCCAAGTGACAGGAACTTTCTGAATCCTGGAAATATAATTTGTTAAAAACTGACTGCCTTTATAGCTCTTCAGTAGGAATTTGAACCACTAACAAACAGAAACAATAATTTATTAAATAACATTTGAGATATTAATGGAGCTCTTTTGACATAATCTATTAGAGGTTACCCCTCCGGTTCTTCAGATCCACTGGAAGCTCTGCAGGTGAATAATTGACAGTCTTATCCTCCTTTGCAATTTACAGTCTAAAAACCCACTGGAAAGTCACCTATTCAAATTTAACAGCAGTGAGACATTTGAATTGTTAAGCACCTCACCAAAGTAATTCTTAGAATAAATTATTGAGTTTCATTTGAATAATGGAAACAAAGAAGCTAAATTTTAAAAAATTATATCTTTGTTAGTGTTTCCTTTTTGGGGTATCTTTAGTTTGGAAGTGAAAACAAAGAAAGGTAGAAGAATCTATAATTAACATAGATGCTTTTGATATTACTGTAATTTTGCTTAAATATTCAAATGGTCCATATTTAGATATTTTAGGAATTTTGGTATCTCTTACCTAATTGTGAGTACTTTCATTCTGTTTTTGTTTTGAGTAGTCCTGTTAATTAACAAAACATATATTACTGTTTTAAACTTAGATTTTTTTTTTAGTTGCCTGATAAAAGCAACATGTTATAAGAGTTGTTTTTAACATTGTATCATATAAGATGTGTGTTATACATATTTTTGGAGGTGTGGGGTTCATCCTTTTTTATCATGATTTTAGTGTAAGTTGACAGAACGATTGTATTTTCATTCATTCATCGATAAACATTTTCCATCCTCCCCTCCCCCAGTTCACTTCGTAGTGCATGTTTTGTTAAGATTGTTGTCATACATGTAATGTTTAATCATCCATTCCTTTTAAATAGTCCTTTCCTTCACCTATTCCAGTGTGGTGTTCATTATTTATCCACTCTCTTCCTATGCTCCCGCCCCTACCAACCACCAGGTCAGTCTTATTTTTACAACAATGGTGTTAAGCGGTATTTGTCCTTTTGAGACTGAGATATTTCACTCAGAATAATGTCTTCCAGATTTATATAGGTTGTGTAGTGTTTTACAAGTTCATTCCTTTTCATTGCAGCATAATATTCCATTGTGTGAGGGTATCACAGTTTTTCTTCCATTCATTTGTTGATGGGTACTTGGTCTGCTTCTGTCTCTTTGCTATTGTAAATAATACTGCAATAAACTTGGGTGTGCCTAAATTGATCTGTCACAGATTTCGGGTTTTTAAGGTATATTCCATATTGTAGGATAGTTGGATCAAATGGTATGTCTATTTCCAACTTTGCACCCCATCATCAGTATATGAGAGTTCAGTCTGTTTACATCCTCACCAGTATTTGTTGTTTGCTGACTTGTTGAACTTTGCTGTTATTGCTGGGGAGAAATGATATCTCATTGCTATATTGATTTACTTCTCTCTAATAACTAGGGATTTTGTACATTTATTCATGTGTGTATTGGCCATCTGACTTTCTTCTTGTGTGAAGTGTCTGTTCATATCTTTTGCTAATTTTATGATTGGGTTGTTTGCCCTTCTCTTGCTGAGATGCCAGAACATTTTATAAATGTTAGATATGAGTCCCTTACCAGCTAAATCATTGCCAGTTTTTTTTGTTTGGTCACACATACACACACACACACACACACACACACACACACACACGCGCAATATAGGCTTCCTTTTTACCATGTTGGAGAAGTTTGGTTTTTTTAATGTGCATAGGGATTTGACTTTTAGAAAATCCCATTTTATCTTCTCCTAGTTGAAGTTTTTTGGTTATGCTTGGATGTCTATTCAAGCCATAGTTTAGGGCTTCTACGGTTCTCACTGGTTTTTCTCTTAAGTTTATACTCCCTGACCCATACCTTGACTTGATTTTTATATATTCTGTGAGGTGTGGATCTTGCTTTATTTTTCTGCAGATGTTGTCCAGTTTTCCCAGCACAGTTTGTTAAAGCAGCTGTCATTTCTCACTCAAATGATTTTATCTCCTTGTCAAAGGTCAATAGAGAATTGTGTTGATTTCTGGCTTCTCGTTTCTTTTCCATTGATCTATTTATCTGTCGCTGTACCAGTAACCACTATGTTGTCTTGATTACTACAACGGTGTAGTAGGCTTTGAAAATAGGGAGTGTGACACTTCCTATTTTTTCTTTTACAGTAATACTTATTTGGGGTCTCTCATTTCCAGATGAAGTTGGAAATTGCCTTTTCCATCTCTTTGAAGAATGACATCAATACCTATATTGAGGTTGTGTTAAACGTGTAGATTGCTTTTAGTAGAATTGTCATTTTCATGATAATGAGTCTTCCCATTCATGAACATATCTTATTCTTTCATGTCAATAGA